CTTCCTCTCTTTCTCTCCAGCCTGAAAACCTTCAGCTTCTGACGGAAGAGTCTGGAGACTTCCTCCTAACAGACAGAGTACAGAAAAGAAGAGAGAGACTTGACCCAGCAGTGGGAGCGGAAAGACAGCGAGAGAAAACTATGATAGAAAGCAGATGCACGCAAGAGAGAAAGACATCGAGAAGGAATGACAACAAAGAGAAAGAAAGCTCAGGCTTCCTCACGCTGACTGGCTCCAGCTCAGCTGACCTAACTGCCTTCTCGAACTGTTGAAACGTTGGACAAGTATTACAGGGCATTAGGGAAAATCCCATTCAAAATAAAGAAAGCCTTACAAATGCATTTTGCCAGAATACCTAAATTTAGTGTTATTACATTTATGTTAAGAGTAGTTTTTCTTTTGTCAACAAACTCTGTCATCGTTTCCAAGCTTGCTAGTGTCCATTAGCCACAACACAGTCCAGCACAGTAGCTTAGCATAAACTGGAAACTCAACTTTAAGTGGCAACAATTTATTACTATTATTATTATTATTATTATTATAGTAAGATTAACGTTTTCAGCCTGCAGTGCCAAGCGGATTTTATACAAGACACTATTTGTCAATAAATACACCAATTTTCTATCATTATTATTATTATTATTATTATTATTATTACTATTATTAGTAGTAGTAGAAGTAGTAGTAGTAGTATGATTACTATTGTTACCAATAATACTAATAATGACGAATAAGAATGATATCTACTAATACAATCTGGTAAAATATTAAAATAAAAACAACTAATAAATCCTTGAAGATTTAGTTAGCTCTCTAGCTAGGTCTAAATTAGCAGAATCTAACCTAGTAAGCTTGGTAACAGACTCTAGAACAGGTATGTCAAACTGACCACTATAAGGGCCATATTAAAAAATCTTAACAAATCAGTGGGCCAGAGAACGCCTATGTTTTTATCAGATTTTGCTATAACCTGAACTGGTCACTGTTTATTCAAAACACACCAAAACACTAACAGCAAAATACAGCATTAAATAAATAAATAAATTAATAAATAAATTAGATAAAATATTCTATATATTTACACACACGCATATGTAAATATATATAATATACATGTGTGTGTGTGTGTGTGTGTGTGTATGTATATATATATATATATATATATATATATATATATATATATATATATATATATATATATATATAATAGGCTACATTACACTACATTATGCACGTTATGTTGCAGTGCATGCTGGGGATTGTAGTGCTGTGCATTATGAAACAGGCTAATATTAACAGAAAATGAAAATAACTTCGCGGGCCAGATACGGTTGTTTTGCGGGCCTTTTTTTCTGATTTTGATTTGTGTTTGACATATGGGCTCTAGCAAATTTGTCTTCGTGTGCACGCTCACACAGTTTGCTACAGTTACACATAGTGTGTAAAGTAAAAACAAATTACCATTTTAATCTTTAATCATCACACGTAAAAGTGCCGTGATGTGAAGTGAACTTTACTGAATAAAGAAGAGCTGTGGAACGAAAGTAACTCCTTCCACAGATAATAATGAAATCAAGGTAATTCGTTATTAGTGTGGTAGTGTGGGTGTCTTCAAGGCTTCACCTGGTCCTGCAAGTATAACAGAAAACTTTAAGACAAGTTAAAAGTCGTTACAAAATAGCTTGTTTTTGTTCTACACCTGTAGTCATTTATTACCAAGTGACAATCCTACATTCTGGTGCACTTAGTGGTTTTGAACTAACACTCAGTGACTTTATCCTCAGCTGAAACAGCGAAGAACTGCTAAATACCTCGGGTTACACTGCAACGTGAGAATTTCCAACTAAACTGAGATAGCCTGAGCTCAAATAAACAGACACTACTCACCGCTGTGTTACTGCACCTGTTATTAGGAAGAGCTTATTTTGTTTTCTATGTAAAGCAACTGCCTATTTAGCACAATGAGTCACACATAATTATGCTACAACATTCTGGTGCAGGTGTAGCAGTACGAGTGTTACTGGCCTCGAGTTATTTATGTCACAAAATTGCAGCAAACAATGACCAAAATAAATTAATGAATTGTAGAGATGCATATTTGATTTAAAACAATATCAACATCAGGTAGATGTTTACATTTGACCGATATTTCAAACTGATACTTGATGATATATTTATTATACTCTGTAAAAGCAGAGCATTAAGGCCAAACCAGTCCTCAGGGACCACCAGACGGCCCACATTTTTGCTCTGTCCCTGTGTTGCAACTTAGGTTGGAACCAAATCTGGTCTGTCCTGGGGTCCCAAAGGACTGATTTAGGCAACACTGGGCTGTTATGCTAAAATATCTGCGTTTTATTTATTTCACTGCCTTCTAATTAGAAGTATATGCTATATTTCTCAGTAATGCTAATTCAGGTTGATCTAATCCCAGTTTTATAAATTCCCATCTTTTATGTTTGTTTATGTATCGGTATTAGTGTATTTGCATCTCCAGATACATGCAAGAAATAAACTGGATATCGTCTATGGTCCACAGTTCTGATATCAGTCCATCCCTAATCAACTGACCAATTGCTGATCGCATGGTTGGAGCATAAATCTGTTGAGTAATCTTGGCCGATTCCCACTGCACACCCCAAATTGTAGCAACTTTTACCAACGTTTTGGGCAGCTTGTCCGACTGTGGAACAACTGCTGCAAAAGAAAGCATATCGTCGCTGTCCGAAGAAAAAAATGGATGTCCATTTTTGTCGATTTTGATTTTTCTACATCATTTGAGCACGGCAGCTGTCCTTCACATTGAGTAAAAATTCCACAATGAATGGACCAATAGAAATGCTCCAGAAACACTTGGAATAAAACCTCTTTACATTAACTTACGTTGAAAGGTAAGAGTGTTTTTTCCTTCTTCTGCACAGTTACCATTTTGGAGATACTCGTTTTTCATAGGACAGCAACGATACGTAGGCTTTGCTGGATCAGTTTCCACCCTCTTCCTCCATGCTCAGGTCCGTTTCTCTTGGAAAAAGCAGGTGAATCCAAGAAATTCTGTTTTAAAATCCTTCTGCAAAGTTTTTCAACACTCGGACTCTCTGCAAACTGTAATTTAACACCAGTCGATTCCGTTTGTGTGTGTGTTTGAGGATGTCCATGCGCATGAATTAACGTCCAGACACCTATTGTCTTTGTGTGTGGGGGTTTTCCATCTCCCACCTCTCCCAACTGAACGAGAATCATCTCTCGCTCGCTCTCTCCATTTTCCTTCCCTCCCTTCTCTCTCTCTTCACTTCCAATGTGGAAAATGCAGCATCACCCAAACCACCACCATGGCTCTCCAAGCCTCTCAAAATGAAGCGGGCCTCTCTCTCTCTCTCTCTCTCTCGTTCCCTCTCTCTACCCCTCCCTCCCTCTATGTCGCTCCCTCGCTTTGCCAAACTGCTCCACCCTGTCCCACACACACCAAACACTGGCTTCACCGTTATAAAGAGCTTATTTTGTCTGTGTTGACGCAACAGTCTGCAACTTCTTTTCTCTTCATTTTCAGTCTTTCCTTCTTAGCCTCGGTGGTAACGATTAAAACCGCACGCTGTGTCTGTATGAACAGAGAACAGTAGTGTGTTTTACTCCGCTCCTGCTGTTCCTTCATCGGTCCTGCAAGTTACTCCTCAAAGTCTGTGAATGTTCTGGCCAGGTTGGTACCCACAGCACAACCCTGTTCCTTCTCAACCCATCAAACATCAATGGAAGGATGGAAAAATGACTTAAATTTTCAGTCGCTTCATTAACCTACCTTGTCTTTTGGCCCTCACTTGGCTGTCAGCTTAGGATAAAGACATAGCATCCACTCAAGGCACACTGGGTTGAATTAACAGGGATGCACAACGATATTGGAGTTACACCGGTATCGGCACATAATTATTTTTAGAAAATTGGTGGAATTGGACAGATTTGGCCAACATTTCCAACTGACATTTAAAATTTCAAACCTTTGAAACTTGAGAGCAGAAACTTTTGCACTAAATAATGCATCTTATTCAGTTAACTGCATGTGTAACCCTTAAGAAATACACTGTAATGCTAATTCTCTACATGTAGTCCCAATTTCTACGTTTTATAAATGTTTATGTATCGTATTGGCGGATATGCATATGAAAATACTGGATATCCGCATCAGCCCACAATTCCACATCCCTAATAGTCAAGAAAGTTAATAGTCTTCAGCAACTGTACTCAAGAATAAGAAGTAACAAATAACTGCTGTAATTTCTGCAGTTTCTACCTCTTTCGCAATGTGTACTTTCTGGATACCTTTACCTTTTACGTGTTTCTTTAATATAATGAGAAAAAATTGCATTGGTTTGCTTTCTGGAAGGTTTTCACTTCACCACAGCCCCCCTAGCAACACAATTACTGTCTGAGAGTCTGTTGACCCCGTGGAGACAATCTGAAGAATGGAAAACAAAGCTATCCTGAGGTCATCAACTCCTAATAAACCCCACTTCTCTTTTCTCCACCAGAAGCTTGCAGATGTGCAGAAGCTACTTTCTGAATGTACTCCAGTGACAGAGGGGGATTCCCCGAGTCCAGCCTTCAAATAAAAGCCCCCTCCAAGTCCCCACAGGACATTTCTGAGATAAGAGAAGGAAACCGAGTCAGACAGGCTATCAGATGCCTTTAATACCCGTTATCAGTCTGCGCTCCAGACCAAAACTGTTCATTTTCTACGTGGCTCAAGTTGGCTTCCTATTGGCCAATGTCCTTTTCGAATTTGCCCGTTCCACCTTAAATGCTGCACCATTTAAGGTGGAACGGGAAAATTCGAATGAGAAGCTGACTTCAGCTTCATTTTCTCTTGTGAAAACAACCAGAAAGCAACGCAAAAAGACGTGCAGGTTACACCCCCACTAGAAACAGCTTCCATAAGGTCAAAAAGCCGTTTTGGGTGACAGCTGAGAGAGGAGAGCCCTTCTTCTCAGAGTCGTGCAGGCAGAACTTACCATGACTTAGCTCGACCCTGCGGACAAGCCTACATTTCCGTTAGTTTCTCATCCCCTCGACCCTTAGACTCGAATATCCAGGGCTCAGTCCTGCGAAAACTGGACCCTCCTCTTCTTGGCCGGTCGCTGTAGCGGCAGTGAGTTAGAAGTTTTGGTGGGAAACAAAGAGACCGACCCGCTGAGGCGACATTACATCTGGAGTTCCCTTCTTCTCTGCGCCTCTCTAACCGCTCTGACTGACTTCTCCAGGTTTTTTTTTTCTCCACCCGAATTCCGACAAGCCCCGCCCCACTGCCCTGTGATTGGGCGCTGAGATTGCTTTTTATTTATTTATTTTGCAGTTTAGCTCTTTGGGTCTAGTTATCTCTACAGGAAAACAGTGTGGGGAGTTTATAAAGTCTTCCGTATAAAAATATTTGTTAGAAATTAAGGATTTGGCTTTAACAAGCCCCGCCCTCCTGGGCTGTGATTGGGCAGGGACATCCCACCGAGATTACTTTACATTTATTTATTTGTTTGTTTATTCTTTCATTCATTTAGTTAGTTGGTTAGTTAGTCAGTTAATTTTTTATTAATGTATTTACTTATTTATTTATCAAGGTCTTTAGGTCTAGGCATTTCAAAAAAGTGCAGCGCGGGCATTAAATTGCTAAATTCTTCCTTATGAATACAATATTTGTCAAAAATAAAATATTTGGCTTAAAGAATTTCCAACAAGCCCCGCCCTCCTGTTTTCTGATTGGGTAGAGATATCCCACCGAGATTACTTACTTACTCATGTATTTTGTTTATTATTTAATTGTTTATTTTTATGAAATTATTATTATTATTATTATTATGCAATATAGCTTATATAAAGTATATATATTGTATATAAATATATAATACATTGCAAAATATTTCCCTTATGAATATGATATTTGTCGATAATTTATTTGGCCTTAAGAATTTCCAACAAGCCTCGCCTTCCTGCTCTGTGATTGGGTAGTGACATCCCACCGAGATTACATTTATTTATTCATTTATTTATTTATTTATTTATTTATTCATTCATTCATTCATTGTCTATTTATCTCTTCAGGTCCTGCCATTTCTAAATGAAAACTCATTCAAAATGAAAGACGCTCTCTGTAAGAGTGAATGAGCCATCAGTAGATTTAATAATAGTTGGGCTCTGTACACCAACGAGTCTGCCGTGTGAACTCGGCGCAGGAGGGCGGGGCTATGTCGGAATATGGGTGGGTTAAAAAAATAACGGCTTTTTCTCCTACAGCCGCTGCTGGAGGCCCCGCCCCCTCCCCTTTAGCTTCAGAACAGGAGCGCCAGTCTCCTCAGCTGCTCCACTCAGACTTTCCAACATTTGCCCCTCCAGCATAAATGTATAAACAATGAGGAGCACACACACGCTCAGGTCTGTATTCCTGTCCTTGTGGGGTCTTTCCACTGACTTCTGCAGCGGGAACTCAGCCAAAGTGGGACAAAGTGCTCCAGAAGGCCCTGATAAAAGCTGTATCCTGCTGAAAAAGACCATTAATGACTGTTGGACACCTCCAGGAACTAATAGACACTTTTAATGAGTTCTATGGGTTTTAATGGGTGTATTTTGATATTTTGATAATGATATGTACGTTGTCTGTATATTATTGTCCTTGTATTGTTTGCATAGTGCTTGTATACTGTTTATTGTACATTGTGTTGTCTGTAAACACCAACAGCTGGAATCAAATTCCTTGAGTATGTCAACGCCTCTGAATCTGATGATTTTTTTATAAAAACTGCACAAATGGATATCATAGAGCAGGGGTGTCCAATCATATCAGCAAAGGGCTGGTGTGGCTGCAGGAGCTCACCTGATCAGAAGTCTGATGCCTACTGAAACCACTTAAACCAGAGGAATCAACCACACAAGCTCCTTGCAGATAAGAACTCCACCAAATTTTCAAAATTTCTTCATCATTAAAGGGTTAAGATGTAAACAAAGCCGTTCAGAGTGGTTTGGTGTGAAATGCTCTGTATTAGAGAAACTTACAGTCAGAACTGTTCACAGTGCTGGTGATAGGAACCAGACGTCCACCACTAAAAGCTCCCTCACAGAGAGTTATCACATGAAATGGTTTTGAATACACTGCCTGATGCCTGAGACACTGTTTTATTGTGAAGTTTTGGTTTAAACTGTATTCTAATCAATTATTTTTCATCCATTCATGGTGGAGGGATACATGCAGAGTGTTGTAAGGCAAAATAGTCCCCTAAGAAAACGTACGTTTTTCAGATTTATTTATATACAACTACTTTCCCATCATTAACATTCCATATAAACTCAGAAGACTCGTGTAGGTTCACTGGTGGTTTTGGACAGTAAATAAAATGGCTGTATTTGTGTTGTAGTCATGGTGACGCCTGGTAACGAAATCCGAGTCAGTATGTTTCTGAACTGGCTTCATTATTTTTAAAAACAAGAAGGATGGACTTGCTCTGGCGAGGAACCACAGCTGCGGCTTCCTCTCTGACTCAGTCTGCTCTCTGTGTTCTTACACTCCTTTTCATTCTGTACTCTCTCCATTGATCCATCTCCAAGTTTCACCCCTCTCCTTCCGTTCTACTCACTTCTGTAGTGTGAATTCAGCGAGAGTGGGAATTGTTTTTGGAAATGCTTCAGGGGAACGTCACAAAAATGTCAAATTTCATGCTATAATTTTCAGGCCACATTTTATGTTTTTTCCCCCCGGTTTGTTAAACAGTGCTTGTGCGTTACCATGTGCAGAAGTGTGTTCTCTGTAGAGGATGTGTTACCAGAGTAAAACACTAAAAGTGTTTGTATGATACTGAACTTAAATGTTATATCAAACATCCAGCGAAGTTTGAAAGAAAAATATATGATATTTAAGCAATCGAACAAGAGAGGGAGTATTATTTGGGATAGCACACGACTCTGAGTGCTCAATTTTTTTCTACAAAATAAAGAAACAAAATAAATTCAAAGAAGCCCCTTAGGGTCACACCGAATATGCTTTAACACTGACTAAACCCTCCGCCCAAAAAAGTAGTTCCTCAACAAACTAGTTGTTGCTATGCAGCGATAACAATGATGTGGCTCTTTTACTGCCCTGTTGCGGCTCCACAGCAGAATTAGATTTGTAGGTAAAAATAAAATAATCCTCCTTTGCAGTAAAATAAAGCTCTGCTGATCGTTCAACACAGTTTAACAGTAAATGGTCTTAAACTCTGGAGTTAATGTAGAACTGCTGATTCACCCTTTAACCCTGAAGATCAGCGCGCAGACTGCTGGTCACCATAGCAACGCAGATACTCTCGCCTAGCTAGTTGCTAACGAAACAGCAAAGAGAGAGATTTGAGACTAAACATCGATAATTTAGAGATTAATGGACTTATTTGCGTTTATTATCGATCTCCAGCTGGTTTCCTGATACGTTTAACCTGAAACGAGAAACTGACGAACACTAAAAAGTCGCGAAGATGAAGTCGCTTCTCACTCTTGTCAGAATTGTCCCGTTCCACCTTAAATGGTGCCTGAAGCGCCAGAATGTAACTGCTGCACCATTTAAGGTGGAACGGGACAATTCTGACAAGAGTGAGAAGCGACTTCAGCCTCATAAATAGTCGAACGTTTAGAGACATTTTTACAAGAAACTGTTCGACTGTTTTGAAGAAAAGTTGCGAGAAAAGCAGCTGAGCTAAAGCTTAAAGCAGAGCGAAGTTAGTCTTCATGTATTTTTAGCCTCTGTTAGCACATTAGCACGTACCGAGACGTCTTTACAGGCAAGACCGTCAAATAGGCATGAAAAGTTTTGGCTCTTAAGGTGATTTGATTTTTGTTGATAGGACAAAATTGCTCTTCTTAACATTTGGGTTGCGACCCCTGGACTAGCCCGTTGAGCCCTGTGCGCAGTACAAGATGACTTAAATGACGTCCATCCCATTTCAGAAGAACGCGGAGGATCCTGGAAATGTGGCCGAGAAACGCGACCTGCTTTCGGCTGAATTCTGAGGACGCACCGATGCATCCTTCCAGGCCCTGAGGACAGCGGGAGAATGTGTTTTTAAACGTAAGTTCCCCCCATTTTTTTGTGAAAAGCCAGTTTACCACATAACTGTAAAGAATGTTATTAACTAGCATCCTGTAGTTATATAGATGACCGGCTATATGTGTGTATTGATGTGTGAAGCTGTCAGTGTACAGTTTGGCTCGCATTGATTAAAGAATGTAAGGTGAGGCTCCAAAACGCAAGATCCTAATGCGTGGCCACGACTAAGTAAGGCATGGGAACGAGATAATTAAGCCTTGACCGCAGCTTCATAAGGCACCATACGGAGCCCTGCTGGTGACATCCAATATAGATCAAAATAATGTCTGGCCATGCCATATTAACATGTTGGAACAAGACCCTAATGTGTGGACATGACTTAGTTAGGCGAGGGAATGAGATCATGCCTTTTAAGCTGTGGCAAAGGCTTAATTAACTCATTAGTTAATGAGTGGCCACGCATCAGGATTTCGTTCCCACAACTTACTAAGTCCCGGCCACGACTTAATTATCTCGTTCCCATTCCTTACTAAATCGTGGCCACGCCTTGTTTTTATTTTATATGGGGAGTCACCAGCAGGGCTCCGCAGCATGATCTCGTGGCCATGACTTAATTATCTCATTCCCATGCCTTACTAAGTCATGGCCACGCATTAGGATCTTGTTCCCACACATTAATATGCCTTGGCCACGCATTATTTTTATTTATACAGGATGTCACCAGCAGGGCTCTGTGGGCTAACACAGTTAACTGTGAAGCAGCAGCAGGCGAGGAAAGTCAGTAACGCTGGTTTATCCGATAGTTCGGCTTCAGGTGTGATTTTGAAGTTAGGAGCAGAGAAAATACGGTAAAAGTGTAAAGCTTTGTGCAAAATTTCTTCACTGGTGCAAAAGTACTATGGGCTGTGAAGAGGGATAAGTATTGTCATTACTTCATTATTTTCCACTCACTGTTCAAACTCAAAAGTAGAGGGAAGTAACAGAATCTCAAGGCCCAGAACTGAAATGGTAATAGAGACTTCATAAAGGCTGAAACCAAACACAGAGGAACATCTCGGGGTTGTAATCAGTCTTAAGAACGAGTGTGTGTGTGGTGTGAGAAGGCAGATCCAGGGTGAGGCTGGAGCTGAAGCGGACCAGTTACGTTCTGAAATTGTGGAAATAAGTTAACACATCCTCACAATAAGTTAACACAGAACACACACAT